CCTCGTTTTAATAGTTTAATAAAAATTAGCATAATTAACGAACATCTGTATGATCCAGAGTGGTGCAATTTGGCACTTGGAAACGAGGACTTAAACATTATTGCTGGGAGTTTAATGTTGTTTTAATTCTTTTTGGCACTGCGCAGTGAAATAAACGCTCGGTGCCGCAAGTTCTCGGCTGGCTCTCATTTGCATTTTCCTCCCTTTGATTATGAGCAATCGCGGACTACCCAGCAATTCATCAAAGCAGAAATTATTTTAAAATACCTCATAGTGTTCAGGCTATGGCGGAGCTGGGGGGGCGAGCGGAGGCTGGGGGCTCCCCGTCACGCCTGGGGTGCATCTCGGCCCCTCTGCCCACGGATCTCCAGGCTACAGCAAACAGACCCAGATTTTTTCCTTCTGGTTTTGCAGCAGGATTTTTTTCCTCCCTGGCTGGTGAGGACAGTGGGGCAGGGGGATGGAGCCCCCATCCCTTCCCGCTCCTTCCTTTCCAACAGCATCACGGGGGCTTGACTCAGTGCTGTTTGCTGGGGTGCGGGTCCCTGGGGAGCATCGGGATCCCAACGTTGGGACCCCTGGGACCCTTTTCTGGCTCCGGCAAGGGCAGGACCATCTGCAGAGCTGGAAGCATCGGGAGCAATGTCTGTCTCTGGTGACTCAGCCCCTCTCCCGAGCAAAGCCCTTTTTCCCTGTCGGGAAGCTGGGATGAGCTCGGGGACCCGTTAAACACCCCAGGCAGGCGGGGTAGGGGTCAGAGCTCACGTGGGACACAGGATGGGATGTGCTGCTGTGCACATCACTTTTAACATCTCCTTTAAAAAAAAAGAACCTCCTATTTTGATGGCAAACTTCTTAAGCCTGTGTGTGCTAACTCCTCCTCTCTCATGGTGGAGTGGAGATTTTCACTGGTATTATCACCTCCAATGTCTGCTATCAGGGGAAAATCACACATAAATCTGGGGAGGGGACATGTTACCAGGCACAATCCACCTGGAGGGGCTTCACAGAGCTCCAGGCTGGTGCCTGAGACACCCCAAGGGTTGCCATCTGTAACTAAAATACCCCAAAATATTAAGGTGTGAATTAAACACTGAGTTTCCAAGCAAGCCCCAAGCCATGCCCTGCACGACCCAGAGCAAAGGGGGAGAGCGGGGCAGGATGAAGGAGGGGAGTTAGGACAGACAACGAAGGATTTACCAGGGGAGAAGTGCGACTGGGGTATTTTCTGGTGGGACTTGGGGGGCTGCTCTCTGTAGATCCACGTGCCAAAGGAAGGGACCTGAGCCGTGTCCCCTGCCCCGGCACTAAATCCGCACCTCTCCGGCTGTGTCTCGCCAGGAGTACAACGCGTATGGCTGGTGGGTTGGAGAGCTCAACAACGTGGTCGGGATCGTCCCAAAGGATTACCTGGTGGCTGCCTACGACCTGGAAGAGTGATGAGGACCGCGGCACCCCAGGTGAGAGGTGGCACCCTGGGGTGCACCTACTGGGGATGGGGCATGGAGGTGGGTGCTGGGGAGGCAGCTCCATTCCTAGGGTGCTCCAGCATCTCCAGGGTGCAGAGCCTTGAGGACTGTCTTTGGCTCCATCTCCTGGTCTCCGTTTTACGTGGGAGCAGGCGAGACCGGGAACCACAGCTGCAGTTCAGGGACAATGCCACCCTACCCAGTGTCTCTCCCTGGATTTCAAGTTCTTCAAGCTCCATGGGGGAAACGTGGTAGAACCATGGCAGCCACCTCCATCGGACCCGGGGAGCTGCGTGTCACTGGCTGTAACACCAACAGCAAGCGCTGCGTATGCAGTGTTTTTCTCCCAAACAAAACCCATTATGGAGGCATGTGGCAGATGGGGAAACTGAGGCACAGGTCAGGGCTAGGAAAGTGGAGGGGGTCTGCAGCTGAGCTAGAAGCAGAGAGTCCTGACACCTGCCTGGGGCAGGGAGACCTCCACATTCACCCAGAGATCTCCCACCCTCGTTATCCCCTCTGCGCCTGCGAGTCACCGACATGCGAGGCCACGTCAGTCCCAGCCTGCATCTTGGTGTCCCCTTCCCCACCATCACCCGTGTCTCTCTCCCTCCCCAAATCCAGGTGCTTCTCTCTCCCTGACCACGCTGAGATACCAGCGACACCGTCCCCACCACCAGCCTCCCCTTGCTACAGGCACCCGTTGCATGAAGAGACCCACATCCCATCACCCAGCCATGCACGGTGTCCCAGAGCCCTGCTCTGCCCCGTGGTACCCGCTGCGATGCCGTCGGGCCACGGCAGGCTGGCAACCCACAATAAAGCAGTTTTCCTCTCCATGCTTTGCTGCTCCAGACTTCTTTGCGGGTCTGGAGCCGGAGCTGGGTGCGGGCAGTAGCCCCTCGCCTCCATCCCCAGCTCTGAGCATCCCCAGAGCCCTCCGGTCCAGGCCCATCCCAGCCCAGGACTGAGGATTAACCCAGCACATCTTCCTCCTCCTCCTCCTCCTCCCGCACTTGGCTGAAGGGCCACTAGATGGTGGTAAGTACCTGCTGACTGCAGCCTTCCCGGGGAGGGTGCCCAAACCCCCTGGGCTGCACCAGAGAAGCCCCCCCGGTACCCACCAGCCCTCGGCCAGCAGCACCTGGGGTGCGCTGGTGCCGAAACAGGAGCATCGCCCATGGGGTGAGCCCAGGTATCAGCCAAACGGCTGTTCCGAAGCACAGCTGTGCAGATGTTTGGAAGCCAGGTGGGACCAGGGGGACCCCCATGGAACCCCGGGGGATGCAGGGATGCAGCCAAACCCATCCTGGTGCCTCACCAGGCTCCCACACATGGCCTTGCTTGTGCCCACAGAGACACCTCCCTGCCGGGCATGTCTTTGGCGTAGAGGATGGGTTTGGGTTGCCCAGAGCTCAGCTTGGCAGGGCATGAGCTCGGCTCAAATCCCTCCAGCGTTCCTAAGCTGCTCTTCCAGCCCTAGCTCTCCACAGCATGGGTGACCCTGAGCAGCCGTGGGAGCCCGTGCCAGGGCACCCAGAGAGAGAAACGGTCCCTCCGCTCTGCCCCTCGGCATGTCAGCCCTTCCCTGTCTCTGTTTCCTCATCCATGAGCATCTTGCAAGGAACAGTTCATTTGGGGGGCAGCTGCAGGGCCAGTATCCATCTCTCCAGCATCATTCCCGGGAGCCTTTTGGGATCCCAGCGGGGAGGAACCAATGCTCTCGCCCAGGCGGATGCTCTGGTGCAAAAAGGACCAGGGCTTGGGACTGACTGGATACATCTGTCCCAGCCCAACGTATAGGAAACAGCCTGGCCATTTGCACCCTGTTACCACTCCCGATGCTCAAGCATTGGGAGGCCTGATCCTGCCCCAGATCCACCGACTCACCCAGGACTCCAGAGCTGAGACCTTCACGCTCTGCTTGAGAAGGGGCTGGGGAGATGGGAGGCAGGATGCTTTGGCCAAGCATGGGCTGCTCCAGCCCTAGGTAAGAGCAGGAGCCCCCCCAGCATGGTGCGTTGCATCGGGGTGGCAGGGGGGAGACAGGGAAAGCACCACGGTTTGTTTGCATAGACTTGAGAGACAGCTTTCCTGGGGGGGGGGGGTATTGTGGATGTGCTGTCTGGAGAGCCTGGCCCACTTCCAAGCAGCAAGGCTGTTTTTCTGGCAGGCGGTGGAGAGGAGAGAGATGTGCCAGGCTGCGAGGGCACGGGGAGGGGGCCGAGCTGTCCTCGTCTGCTCCGGGTGGGGAAGGTTACCTTGAGCGGCTCTGCGTGCCCACCGTGTCCATGACCCCACACAGGTGATGAGGTTACGGCTCTGTGCCCAGAGCTGACTCACCGGCTACCAAAATCCCCAGCACGGTAGTTGCCTGCAGACATCAGGCCACGGAGGGGTTGAGCCCACCCCATGCGTGGCAGAGGGGACTGTCACCCCCCCCCAGGGCCATTGCCCCCAGCCTCTGCAGCAAAGCAGCCCTGGGGGTCACCGATGCTCAGCTCCCTATGAGCAGGAGCAGGGCTGCTTCCCCCCCCCGCCACCCACGGCCAGGTCTGCCTCTGAGTCACTGTTTTCCCGACAGCTTTGCAAAGCTGATCAACACCACTAAAAATAATTTCTGCCTGGCTCTGAAACGCAGCCAGCAGCAGGGCTGCAGCCCCGAGGGGGAACGATGGGCACCACAGAGCCCTGCGAGGAGGCAGGGGAGGGGATGGAGCCTTTCCTCCAGCAGCCCCACGGCCTGCCCTTTCCAAATCCACCTTCAGAGGGAAGCCCCGGGACCGGCTGGCTCCTGGCAAGGCGTCAAGCCAAGGATGCGGCAGTGCCAGGCCAAGCTCACGGTGCAAACCGTGCTGGGGGACCGCGGGGAGTCAGGGGCAGGATACAGCCCCAGCTGAGGGCACGTTGCCTGCATGAGGCTGCGCCCAGGCAAAGGCCAAGCGTGGGCGAGGGCACGCGTGGGCACAGGAGCAGGTCCGTGGGCACAGCTGGCCTCACAGCTGCGCCATTTGGAGCCGCACACTCATGAATATGCATGAATATGCATGAGGGGGGGCAGCCAATGGCAGCGGCGCTCCGGCGCACCAGCAGCTGCCAGCCTTCGCAATGAACTTCTCCTGACATTTCGGATGCGCCTCGACGGGTTTCCAACCCTCCTCCCTCCCCCTCCCCAGTGTGTCTTGGCCCCCGTGTGGGGCCGAGACCCCCTCCACAGCTGGGCCCAGCACCACAAAACCCGCTTCAGGGCCAAGGTGGGACCTGTCAGCCCTGCCTGTCCTCTGCCAGCACCCTGGGGCTCACCCCAGCATCCCATGCTGGCCCCAGGGACCTCTCTGCTGTGCAGGGCAGAGTCAGCCCGGATGGTTTCAGCAGCTCCAGCCCCGTGGTGAGAGGTGCAATAACCCCCTCTTTTCCCTAAAGCCATCTATCTGCAATTAGCTCGGCCTCAGCTCAGCTCCCTCCACCCACGCAGCGAGGACAGACATTGCCAGCAACCAGTAAGTCTCTTCTACTTCATTTTTATTTCAAGTCAGAGCACGTCGGCTCTGCCTTCACCAGTGCTGAAGGGTGGGAGGAAAAGGTGCAGGAGAGCACAGGGAGAGGCATCAAGAGTAGCCAGAGCCCAAGCACTGCCGGACACCGACTCCAAGGCAGCTACATGCTCCTTTTTTCTGAGCAAACTAGATCCTGGCTGCAAGACCCCCATTGCCTCCTGTGCATGGCAATTGGTGTGCGAGGAAGGAGCCCATCTCAAAGGGGCACCCCCTCAAAAGGGCAGGGGAGACAAACTGCCCCCCCCTCCACCTCCCCACCAACTCATTCCCCTGCCCCATGCTCCCAGGGGGAAGCTCATCTCTGTCCCAGCTGCAGGCAACCTGCGGAGCGAGCTGTGCCAGAAGGCCCCAGGTGTGGATACGGTATCTGCACCCCACATGTGAGCTCCGGCTCCACACAGCTGAGACCACACTCCCCAGGAGCTGCACAGCGCGGCTGTTATCGGGGAAATGCAGCCTCCCCTGCCTGCAACGCGGAGGGGAACATGAGACAAAACTGAAGAGACTCGCTGAGCAGTGGCCAGCCCCTGCTCCCAGCGTGCGGCTCCACCAAGGAAAGCCTTCCTCCATCATGCTGGACCTGAGCCAGAGTATCCCACCCCACCCAGGGCCAGGGACATGCCAAAACCACAGAGCCTCGCTGGCACTGCCACCTAACTAAGCCCTGCTACTGCTCCAGTCAGAGAGCAAAGGCCATGGGAACAACAAACACAGGTTTCACTAACCACTAGATCCGTTCTCCAAAGAGAAGAGCGATACAAACACACTGCCTGGGACATCAGAGACAGTCGAGAGTCAGCAGGGAGAGAGCACATGAGCCCCGGACACCGCAGAGCCCGGGACAAGGCCATGTTCCCAGTACAGCCCCAGTCCCACCAGCCTGGACATCCCTCCAGCTCAGCAGCGGTCCCTCTTCCACCAAGGGCTGCAGGTCCCAGGGAAGGCAGGCGAGGTCGCTAGAGCCGTTTACTGCATCTCACGCCGTCCACCCAAGGGCTCAGCTGGTTCATCCGGACTGTCCGAGTGGGTATCATCCATGCCGAAGTCGCTCCAGTATGGGAAGGTCTCTAGGCAGCTTGGACCCTGCAGGCTTCCCAGGCCGGCACAGCTGGAAAGAGAGAACAGGTCAGAGCAGAGAAGGGATCTGGGGAAGATGCAGGGCCCGAGTTGCCCACATGGCTCCAAGTCAACCACTGCCTCCTTGACGCAACCGCTTCTGCACAGCAGAGGCTGCTTCCCCTCTGCACGGCCCCACCACAGCCCTCAGCTTCCAGCCAGCTCAGCCACAGAAGCAGCCACTCACCGTCGCATGCAAGCCCAGAGCAGGAAAGGGGGGGAGACTGTCACCGGTGAGAGGCAGATGGGGCTGGCAGCTGAGATGCAGGAAGCCACGCTGCCTGGGTACCTACCCATTAGCCTGGGCTGCTGCGCTCCCTCAAACCCCTTCCTTAAACCAGAAGGGCTCTATTTAAAAACAGGTCTCTCGCTGGAGTCCAGACACCTCTTTCTTCCTGCTATTTGAAAACCAAGATGAAGAAACATGGGCACTGGGTGGTGCAGAAGGCCAGACACAGCCTCCTGCTTAGGTAAATACCTCATCTGAGGGGCAGGGGGACCCCAAGCGTCTCTGCCAGACACACCAGGCTACCAGCAAGCACAGCCAGGGACCCCGTGCCTGCCACAGGACTCAAACACACAGGCGTTGTCTGGGCTTGTTCATCTTCTTGCAGGGAGCTGCAGCAGTGGTAGATTGAGGATGCCCTCCTCTCCCACCAGGTCAGCTGCCTCCCCAGGTGCAGAAAACCTCCAAATGGCTGCAGAAGGGGCAGCCACCCCACAGGGAGATGCCCGATTAATTCCCCAGCTCGCAGCAAGAACTCTGAAGCTCTGATGGGCACGAGGAACTGCAGAACCCACTCACGCTGCGAGGACGAAGGCAAGATGCGCAGAAAGCCTGAGCTTTGAAAGCTTCCAAAGGCTCCTCACTCCCCAGAGATTAAGGGAGGAAAGCAGCTGAAGACCTTTGTAAATCTCAGCTTAAGTTGTTCTGAGAGACTCGAGCTCTTTTCGGCTAAGTCTTGGCCAGGACAGGTCACCCTCCCGGGCAGCCTGGAGGGCAGTACAGGAGACTCCTGGTGACAGCCCAAGATGTCCAGCTCCTATCGCCTGACCCCCAGGAATCCTGCCCATTCAGCGTGCAGGGCTGGGGAACACGTGCTCAACTTCATTCCCTCAAACGACTGTAGTAAGGATGGGACAGGGAAATTCAAAAACATTCAGGGGTCTCTAGAAAGCCTGGCAGCTCCTCTTATTTCACAGCAGAGGCTGTTCCCTACTGGTGAAAGTCCCTTGCACAAGCACCAACCATTTCAAATCAGGCTGTAGTCAGACACACAGCTGCAAGCACTGACAAGGGGAGGTGGAGACAGCAAGTCACCAGCTGCCTCCCAGCACTGCCAGTAGCCAGGCCTGCTCCAGCCAGCACAGAGCAGGTCCAGGCACAGCAAGGGAGCTGGGGGCTGCCCCGCTGGTGGCACCCCTGGGCCTGTCCTTCCCTGCCTGCATTACCTGCCATGCAGGTCCCCTCCCGGCAGCAGCGCGGGGCGGCTCTCTTCCTCCTGCACCCAGCCGCAGTTGGACATGGCATAGTGCAGGATGGCTTCTGTCACTGTCTGCGAGCCCTGGCCTTGTACGCACGCCTCTATCTCGGGTACCGAGAGCTGGCTCTGCAGGAAAAGGTGCAGCCGGCTGTCGGAGAGGAGGACCACGTTCTGCACAACCCTGTGCACAAAGAGAGGAGGGTGAGTGAGACAGGCGGCCAGGAGCACAGAGGACACTGAGCCCTGCCCCACAGCACCAGGGTGACCGTCGGCAGCTCTACTGCCACCTCACAGCCAGCATCTTCTAAGCAAGACTGGAGCAGTGTGTCCTCTCCCTCCATCCAGCCCTCACAAATGCTCTACTCACTTCTCCAGGAACTGCTGCAGCCCCTGTCTCCGCTTCTCGATGAACTCATCCGTGCTGCCCACGAAGAAGGTTGATTTCCCGGGCAGCTCTGGGACAGGCCTGCAGGCACAGAGCAGAGAGGCGGCAGTTCAGGGTCGGATCACCCCAGCACCAGAGCAAGGAGACACGGGGGCACCGTGGCAGGAGCAGCCAGGACCCTGCTTTGTGCAGGGCTGGATCCTAGGAGCTCAGGTATCCCAAGTTTGTGTCTGGGGTTTCTATCCACATCTGTTCAGAGTTCATGTGTGTCCCCCAGGGCAATGGGAAAGTGTCTGGCTGCAGGAGGGGTAAGGGAGGGAGAACAAGGCATGCTTACACCAAGCCAGCATTCTTCTGGAGCTGCCTCCTCAGCCACACGAATTCACGGTACCGGCGCCGCACACATGAGGTCTTGGCAGTAAAGGCCTTGCTGTTGGTCTGCAAAAAAACCCCACCATGGAAATAATCCGCATGATTGAGGGACAGCAAGGCAGAGGAGGGCAGGATCTCACCTGCACAGACCTCTGAGCTCTGTGACTAAAGGATCCCCTCAAAGCTTTGTGGAGCTGAAAGTGCCTGGAAAACCTGAGCAGGCTCCAGGGGAGAAGGTGGGTCTCAGACCCACACGAAGACAGCACAGAAGGAGGGATGGGCTGCTGAAGGTTCCCCCCTTCATGGCTCCTTCCATCCCCACTCAGCACAGCCAGACATGGTCAGACAACTCCACTCATGAGCCTCACGTATGGCACAATGGAGCTCTGCAGCTCACCCCTCTCCCCCAGCCGCAACTCACATGGAGGAAGATTTTATAATCCACATAAGAGTTCCAGGAGCCTTCGTTCTGCACTCGGGGGTCCTGAACACGCACCGTGGTCAGCTCCTATGGCAGAAACACTGCCTAAGTGCCAGCATCACCCCCTTCGCAGGGCTCAGAGGAGCTGCCGGGGACAGGTGCCAATGACCACACTGGCTTGTCCGGCCATCCTGCCCCAGGGGCAGCACAGACACCTCCAGCCTCTCCCATCCCTGTCACCAGTTGCCCCTCAGCTCCACCCCATGGACCCTGCCCAGCGTTCAGCACCTCTCACCCCTCGACACAGCACTCAGCCAAGACCACCAGCTCCAGCGCTGCCAAACCCCACCCAGGAACAGACAAAACCCATGTCAAAAAGGGTCTTACTTCCTCTCTGTTCTCCAACATCCTAGAGCCAGAGCCCAGCAGGAAACATCTGTACAGAGAAAAAAGGATTTAGTAAGACAAGATCAACACATCAGGGTCTCCCATGCACTCTGCATCCCCCCAGGCACCTCACACCTCTGTCCCATCCAGCAGGCACCTCTTCAGCCCCCACATCTGCATTCAGCTGCCCTCCCTGATCCTCTCCCCTCAGCCACAACGAAATAAAGTGGATGCATTCAAATCCAGCAGTCCGCAGGGGAGAGAGCATCCAGCATGGATCTCCCATACGCTCCTGAGGCAACGTGGCCTGTTAGGCTCCCGCTGGGGTGTGCTGGAGACTGCACTGCGACCAGAGCCAGAGCCTGCAGCACCTCTTTCCTCCACAACTCCTCTTCAGGTCACCCCTACCCACAGGGAGGCACTGGGATCCTGCAGCCTTCTGGAACAGCACTCAGAAATCCCTGGATCACAGAGGTGAGCAGGGATCCCAGCTCAGACAGGCTGTAAGCACCTGAGGACGGGACAGGGCAGCCAGCCGCTCCTGCTAAGCTGCCTGCCCTCCTCTCCCACAGCACATCCCTGCTCCCAGGCAGATAACTGGGTCTCTGGGAGAGCCGGACACAGCTCCCGGAGAGCTTTTCCCCCACCGTAACTCCTGTTAGCCAGGAACAGCCTCCTCGTTGCACAGCACCAAGACCCCGGGACACCAGTTTGCTCCTGCAGAGCCAGAACTGGCAATGCAGGAGGGAGACAGGGTGGAAGAGCCCAGCCCGCTCCCTGCATGGGCAGGTTTGCACTGAAATGCCAGGGGAGCCGGTTTGGCTGGGGAGGAGAAAACCCTGCTTTTATCAGAGTTTCCTTCTCCTACAGGCCTCCCTCTCCCCTCACTGCCTGCCCAGCATGAGCTTGGCTGGGCCATCCAAGCAGGTAAAGCAGCCAGCCCACACCAGGACCCTGCTGCCCCTCACCAGAGGAACCTGCTTTTCTCCTGCATAGATCAGACCCATTCCTCAGCTGCCACCTCAGTAAGTCTCTCATTAGCACCAGACAGAGATATGATGTTTCTCTCCAGCTCTTTCCCAAGTCACCTGAATAAGCAGCAAACTTGGTACCAGATTTCCCCACCTGGCTAGGTTTTGTATCCGCATTGTGACCGCTCTCCCTTGTGCCCCTCCCCAACCTCCCTTTCCCCTTCTCCCAGTGGGAGCTGGGAGGTCAACGAGCATTGATGAGGCCCTCGGGGAGCCACAGAGGTGCCTGGTGCCCCCTGTGCTGCCCAGTTTTCCCAGCTCAGCTGCGCCACGAGCTGCCCGCACGCTCCCATCACACCAGCCGCTTCCTCCGCCACATCCCTCCGGCGCTCCCAGGTCCTGCTGGACCGTGTCAGCTAATTTGCTCCACCATTACGTGCTCCTGCAGTAATTCCTGTTCTACAACAACACCATGAACACAGTGCCAGGGCTTGGGGGGAAGGGGACAGCGAGATAACCCCACCACCATGCAATAAATGCACAGTCCAGACAGCGAAACCCCTCTGAGACAGAGTTCATTCCCCACCCTGCAGACGCACTGTGTGCACACAGACCAGGAATACTCATCAGGGGGAGCTGGAAGACCAAGCATGTCCCGTGTCCTGGTTTCACCTCCTCTGCGGGATTGCTTGCAAGAGGTTTTGGAGGCCCTGGGATGAACCGGCAGCGCAGAACTTTGCCTGTCACAGCCCAGGCTCCCAAGGGACACAGCTGCCTGATGGCAGAGGCGACGCAACCCTTCACCTGTTCCCCATTCCTGGAGTCTTGCCTTTTAGGCCATGAGAGCTGCCAAGTGTCAGGCAGCACTGGAAACCCAGCCTTTATTTATACGCTCAGATGTGAGGCAAAGCTCTTCTGAAGACGAAGCTAATTTTAGCTGGGACAAGGGGAGGGGTTGAGCCACAAACCACATTTTAAAAATCTGGCTCCACCGGTTTGCAGGTACTTTCTGCAAGACTTCAGCCATCCGATTCCACCCGCAGAGCACAGAATGCATTAATAAGAGCAGAGAAGAGTTTCAGGATAGACAGCAAGAGACCCAGGCCCGCTCCAAGATGTCTCTGAGTAACTGAACTCCCGCTGGAGTTGGGTCAGACTGCTGCTGTTTCCAATTTGAGCTGTAAGGGGGAGGGCGAGGGGAACCTACCAAAAAAAAACCCCACGCTTCAGCACACATGATTCTTCCCCTGGGAGAGGAAGGGAGTGAAGGAGCCAAATGTGACATGAGTCACTTTGCTCAGCACAGTAATGGGGGAGCTCCGATCCTCCCCCGTGCTGGGGGCTCCCAGCCAGAACCAGTTCAGCAGCAGAACTTGACCATTATGTTCCCCAGCCTCCCCAAGGGACGCTGCCGTCGTCCCATTGCTTTTAGAGCTCTTGGCTCTGCGTAACAGCCCTGCCTAGATTAAAAATGCAGGAGGGAGAAAAGAGAGACTCAGAAATTGCCTAATGGAACAGCAGAGGGTTGCCAGGAAAAAGAATTTAATTTCCTAGCTACTGAAAGGGTGCTCCAAAGAGCGGAGAGAGCTAGGCCGGGGTGGGGGCAGAGATGGCTCTCTGCAGTCAGCAAGGAGGTGGACAGGCTGCGGGGAAAACTGAGATCAGAGTCTGAGCACTCACATCTTTATACTTTGATCCAGAGTTGTACCAAGAAACACATAATCTTATTTACGCTTTATTGGAAGTTAATTGACCTTAACTTGATAAATCAACTTAAACCCAATGGAGAAGGCAGCTCTGAGTTAGCTTTAAACAGTTACACCAAATCCTCTTTTAGGGCTTTTGCTTAAAGCCTCAGTTTAAGGGGCCCTGGGATATGTGGTTTGGGTTTGGTTTAATCTTCCTACAATTTGCATTTCAGTGTTTCCAGGGCTCACGCTTTCAATGTCTTCTAGCTAGAAGGACACAAGAGGTGGCAGCCACACAGAAACACCCCACACCCATGCTCCTGGAGCCTCACGACTTTCACCTGCCCAGGCTAGGGCAGCCTGGGTACTTAACGAGCCACAGACGTGGTCCAACTCCAGGTGGATTGCCACCCCCAGCCCTGTACTCACCCTGCTGACAGAGAAAGTGTTTGTTTTTCTCTCTCGCTTGCTATCTTTTTTCTTCCTTGCTGACTCAAACACTTCCTTAATAGCAGCCTGTAACCCTCCATAACAGCAGGACCTGCATCAAATACTCTTTCCTAAGTAGTACACACCGGTGATAGTTTAGTCCAGCTTGGAGCTCCCTCCCCCAGCTCCATTCCCTCTGCAGCTCCAGGCTGGCCAAGGCTTCACATCCATCTGCTCAAGCCCAGCACTGCTCCAGGCAACATCCAGCCACACAAGAGTCTCTCGCGTTTTGAAGAAAGCCTCACAGAGGAGCTCCACAGCAGGAAAAAAGGGAACGAGTCCCATTTGTTTCTGCTTTTGCTTGTCACACTTGGACAGAGCTGTCCACAACCAACACCAGAGCAGGTTCTCTGAGGTTCTTTTCCCACACGGGAAGGAAAGGGCTCCCCATCCCAAATCAGGACACCCCCCCTTAGTCCACCATTGCCCACTGGAAGGGGATGTCCCCAACCAGCCCAGCGTCACAGCATTTCAACACAAGGCACGGACACTGAAAGGGGATGTCCCCAGCCAGCCCAACACCACAGCATTTCAACACAAGGCACGGACACTGGAAGGGGATGTCCCCAACCAGCCCAGCGTCACAGCATTTCAACACAAGGCACGGACACTGAAAGGGGATGTCCCCAGCCAGCCCAACACCACAGCATTTCAACACAAACCCCAGATGCTTGACCACTCTAATATCAGCCCAGCCCAACCACCCCCCTCTGTGAGAACGGGGCTGGGGCTGGGCCCCGGCACCGCTCTACCCGCTCCACAGCTCCGGCCCGGTCCCGCAGCAGCCGGCCACGGTTCTCGGGGCTCGATACCACTGTAAGGAGGCTGATTTGGTCAACCGCCGCCTCGGCCCAACCCCGCCGGGAAAGGCCGCAGCAGGGGGCGAGGCCCAGCCCCGCCGCCCCAGCACCGGCCAGACCCGGGCCCTGCTCCACCGCCCCGAGCGGGCCAAGGATCCCCCGGTAAGGACCGGAGGCTGTCTGCCGCGGGGCCCAGCGGACCCCCAAGCCCACCGCCGTCGGTAGACCCTCACCCCGGGCCTACCCCTCCCTCAGAACCCCCCTCACCTCCTCCAGCAGGCCGCGGCCCCTTTAAGCGGCGCGGCGGCGCGGCGGCCTTATAGCGAGGGCGGTGCTTTCTTCTCCCCCCCCTCCTTTCCCTTCCGGCGCGGGGCATGCTGGGAGTTGTAGTCCACCCCCTCAGGCGGCGGGGTGCGGCCTGCGGCCTTCAGCAACGGGCGGCCTCCCCGAGGGGCCCGGGCCACGCCACGCCGCGCTGCGATCCCCACCGAAGCGGCGAGCTTAAACCTAACGGGGAAAAAAAAAAAAAGCTTCTCCCGGGTGGGCGGCAGAGGAGCCGGGGGACTACAGCTCCCACTGTACCCCGCGGCGGCGGCGGGC